GCTTAGACAAATTAATTCATATGCTGTGAAAGCAAGATACACTAGAATATCTTTATGATAAATGGTCCCTTGTTTTAATTCAATTAATAACAAAATTACAAATACCTTAAGCGTTAAGATATTTGCCTGTAATCAAGGTGGTAACCTCCAACGAATATATGTGTTATCTAAATCCATCTTTCTTACAATGGTGGCTACATCAATTTTTAAGACTGAGATGGCTTCTTCACATTTTATAGTTCACACACAGCCAAGCACTACTGATCAGCACTAAATTTTACACACAGCTTTTACAGCATACATTTACCTACAAATAGCATCACCTTTCAAATAACATTCTGAGAAGCTCTTAGTGACATGGTTTTATACATTATAAAATATTAGGATGGAAAGAGGCATATCAATTATTTTATCCAAAAATAATTATTGGTTTCTTAAAAATTATTCTGAAACTTTACAAATAAACAAACCAAACTCTGAGTTGTTTGAAGAGAATGCAATGGGAAGAAAAAATAAATAACCTTTAAGAGGAAGTCAAACAACAGACTGGAGTTTTGTCCACAACCACGAAGACTCTCCTTCCCTAAACCAGCTCCTAAACCAACTCCCAACCAACATCACAGCCCCACCTTGCTGCTCCAACTTCTCACTGCTGTCCAATCATAGCTGACTGTTTCAAACTGCAAGGTCTTTAAAATTTGTATTGTACCTAGATTGTCCCTCCCTCTCACTGTGCCTGAAATTTTAATCGTAAGATCTCTTTGTTGAACAAAAAATAATTTATTGAACTGGGCATGGTGGCACACATCTATAAGCCATGCTGCTCAGGAAGCTGTGGACAGATAACCACAAGTTCAAGTCCAGCCTGGATAACTTAGTGAGATCCTACATCAAAATAAAAGCTTTTACTGATAAGTGTGAAATAGGAAGAAAATGGCTAAAGGAGAAATGGGAAGAGGAGGGAAAAGGAAAAATGTGAGAAAAGGAAAAGGGAAACAAAGTCTTTGTAAATAGGGAAGGGTGAAGGGGATGAAGAGAGGGCAGGGGAATGGGGAAAAAATAAGAATCAAGATATATCATGTAAAGTTACAAGATCCCAATGACAAATGTAATTGCATTGTTTGCTTTTTTTTTTTAATTTAATTTATTGGTACATTCTAGGTAGACAGTACAGTTAGTTACATTTATACTGGGATCTTGTATCTTTACATGCCAGGTCTTAGTTCTCATTTTCTCCCCTTGTCCCCACCCTCCCTTCACTGCATTGTTTGCTTTAAATGTACCAATAAACTTAATGGGAAAAATAAAATAAAAGCTTTTAAAAAGGGGTGTGGATATACAGCTCAGCTCAGCAACAGGAGTGCTGCCTAGTATATGAGAGGCTCTGGATGCAATTCCCAATGTTAAAGAAAAAGAAAAGAAAAGAAAAATCATTTCTATGCCATCCAAACAATAAGAAAACAGAAACCTTGACTCATCTGATTCCATATCAAAATCTAAGAAGTATTTCTGTTATTGAGTGTCATCCTCCACAGATCAGAGTGTAATTAGCACTGTAAAATCATGAATAATTCTGGCTTTTAGATTACAAACTCTTGGAAGCAAAGCATGCAGAAGACAATGGTTAGATTTCTATAAGAAAAGCTGGCTCATGATTGTGAATGACTTTGTTCTTTGCTTCTTGTTTTTGTTTCCTGTAATGCATATATTAACTTTAAAAAAATAAAAATTATTTTTAAAACAAAAAAAAAGAAAGAAAAAGAAACGTTGGCTCTAAATTTCTGCAAAGGAATCTCAGAAGCACTTGTGGCTAGGTGATCTCTGAACATATGGTCCCACGCAAATATTTAACTTCTCTAAGAATCAAATTTCTTAATCTAAAAATGAGAATAAGCCAGCTCCACTAACCTCTCAAGATTTTGGCCAGATGCAAATAACATTTACTGCTAGACTCTAAATTTGCCCATCACTATGATGTAAGCCATGAAATCTGAGACACTGACTATGAAATGTAATATCAAATGTCAGAAACCAGGAGTGTCAGAACAATAAAAGTAAAAAATGAAAAAAAAAGTTAAACTGCTAAAATCTTCAAACTCTTAGAAGGTTGGAGACATCTTAGTTTACGATACACAAAGATATAAGTATAAAAAAGAAATTTTATATAAATTATTTAGAACCAGGGCCGGGGATTTAGCTCAGTGGTTCCGCTACCTGCCTCGCAAACACAAGGTCCCAAATTTGATCCCCGGTGCCAAAAACAAATTAAAAATAAATAAATAAAATATTTAGAGCCACATTTGCTTTAGGAGTTTGGAAATACATGGCCACAAGTGATACTACTGTTATAAATATGAATAAAGTATATTCACTGAAAATTCTAGCATCTGAAGTTAATGCTCAGGTAGCATTTCTATCTTCATTTGCTTATAGTCACATTCCTACCAGCCCAGGGATCAGATGAGGTTAAATACTGCAAAAAGTGCTAAATAATAAAAGACAGTAGCTCACAGAAAATTAACCTTTTAAAGAACTAAGTGTGTTTGCATGTATACTGTGAATACCTACAAATAATAAGTGGTGTTCAATATAACCTAACTGTAAATGCCTTGGCGAATATGAGGCCCTGGTTTCTCCGTTTTCTATTTTTTCTTTTTACCCCAGTGCTCTCCAGTAATACAGGAAAAATATACACAAGCATGCTAATTGACTTTACCAAGATGAATGCCTCCAACTTCATCTGGCAGCCACCTGGTTATGTGGAAATCATTTGCTGACTCGAGTGTTTGCCTAATTTCCCACAACAGCTATAGACATTTAAATTTTTATGTTTTTCTTCTGGGCCTCTGCTCCATCCAAGCTCTAGTTTCATAACGAAGGAAAACAGAAGCAGCCTTCAACTTCCCTCACCTATAATAGCACTTAGTTTTGATGCACTCATCAGAACAGTAAATAACAATGTCATGTACTATTGTTTTAAGTATTTGCTATATGCTAGACCCTGGGCCGAACACTTCACTTCATATGTAATAATTAAATCACATAATTCCTACCCCTTTTAGGTAGGAAAATAAACCTCAAAGAACTGAAGTGATTTATACCAGCTTCACGCTAATATTTGAAAGGTAGAAAAGAGATATGAAACCAGGTCAATGCCTCTGTCACCCTGCCTCTGGAAAGTGTCTAAGACTCATCTTAGACACTAGAAGTAGCACTGCCACTTCTACACAGACGACCCACATTTAGAAATTTATTTTCATTATTATATGAAATTTCTCACTCTCAACCAGTACTGAGAAAAGACTTATTTCTTGGCCTTGAACTCAGGATCTCCTGCCTTGGCTCACCCAGTGCTGGAGTTACAGGCATGAACCACCTTGCCTAGCGAGAAAAAATATTTAAGTAGCTATCCTTAAGTGAAAAAAGTAGTTTATCCACTCAATATGTTATATGTTGAATATATATCTATACTACATTACATTATAAAATCATAAAGTTACATGAATAAAAATTTAAATAAAATGTTAGATGATTTGTCTTTTTAAAGACATATAGGTTTAAAAATTAACTGACTTCAGTTGAGTTTTCAAGAAAAACTCCAAATGCCAGGTTATGCTGGTAACCTGGTAGTTATTTTCCTATTTCTCTCCATCCACAGATAATGCAAAGAAATTTCCTGCTTCTTCAATTTTTCAATAATTTCTCACTTTAGCAAAGACTGAGTTCTTTAAAGATAAATAGGTGGCCTAGTCTGCAGGCACAGCCACGCCTTGTGGTCACTGTGTCCTGCTACAGTCCTGACAAAGGCATGCACTCAGGCCTCAGTGGCTTCAACCTGACTTCTACAGAAACTGTTACCAGCTCAAGACCTCAGAAGCTCATCCTAAGTCATAAGGATAATTACGCTGCTTGCACAGAACTTTAATTCCCTACATTCCCATCATATCTACTCCTTCTAAGTAAAAACAATTAATTAATACACACGTGTGATCAAGGGCTTGGTTCCATCTTGCTCTATATTCTATTCCTAGTGTTGACATAACAGAAGCTGTAGAAACATGTGTTGCAGTAAACAGTGGTGAGCAAACAACTGGGACAATACTGTGTAACTTGGTGTTGCTTTTAATTAAATATATTTGCAGTAGTTATACCAATCTATTGGTTTGAATGCTTGATGTAGGAAATCAAAATCCAGGGCACCTATATTTAAGCTTCAACAATACTGTTATCACAATATTCCATTTAAACATATTTTAATAAATTTATAATACCACTTTTATAATTTCTTTTGACTCACAGCAAGCCAAACAATGATAATTTGTTGTATTTTTTAAATTTATATATAACATGTTGTCTATTTTAAACTTAACACATAGTTATCTTCTTTATACAACTAAATTGGTATCTTGAAAAATTAGGTTTCTTTCAAATCAGAATGTGTCTTCCTAAATCCAAGGATGTTAGATATATTTGCAGTTCATAAACAGCTTGTCAATCATTCATGTAATTCCAGAACTCTATGCATATTTATTACTACATTCATTTTTAAACAAATATTGCAAAAGACTACCGATAGTGTGAGAAATGTCACCTAAATGCTAAAAAACCCTGTAAATATCAATTCTTAATGGTAGGCTCCTTGTCTATCATTAAAATAAACACCAGCTTCTTCTCTACTTTCAGTTTTACTGAATGCCACCCACTTACAAATTAACTATAATTGCCAGGCGTGGTGGTGCACGCCTGTAATCCCAGCACTCCGGAGGCTGAGGCAGGAGGATCGCTGTGAGTTCGAGGCCAGCCTGAGCTACACAGTGAGTTCCAGGTCAGTTTCAACTACATAGTAAGACAATGTCTCAAAAAAACCTAAACAAATAAATTAGTTAACTATAATAATTCAAAATATCCAGTTACATCTTCTGCCTATTATTTCTCAATATTTTTCCCCAATTCCTCAAAGCCATTATTTGAAAAATTTGATGTAAGAATTATTTACAGACCTCCATCCATCCTCCTGGAGATAACTGAAGGCTCCATCAACAACACTTGCAAAGAACTGGCCTCCTGTGATGAAGAGGGTGTTAATTGTGACTAATCGGCCTCTTAAATTGGGTGGTGAGACTTCTGCGATATACACTGGCACTGTCATGGAAGCAATGCCTAGGAAGAAAAAAAAAGTGAACGGGACACATTTACTCAAGATTTCTACTGTTACTGTAAATATTAACACTAAAGAAACAGTCATAAATATGTGGGCTTGGTTTCCTGCTTTATTTTCTTCTTTTTTTTTTTTTTTTTTTTTTTTTTGTAGGCGGTGGAACCACTGAGCTAAATCCTGGGCCTGGTTTCCGGCTTTAAATAAAGATTACAGGGCCAGGGATTTAGCTCAGTGGTGCAGCCACCTGCCTCAGAAGCACAAGTTCCCAGATTCCATCCCCAGTAACGAAAACATAATAAACAAATATCACCACATAGCTAAAGATTTTGTTTATAACTAATTTGAGGCTGCTGCAAATAAATGTGATATACCAGTATGAGTATCATTTTTCACATTACTTGAAAGCCTAATAAATGTACCTCTACAGACCCAAGATAACTTTACAATACTTAAATGTGTTGTGCTTTCTTTTTTACTTTTTCTTTCAGGACAAGGCTTATCCCAGGGCCATTGCATTGAGCTATATCCACAGCTGTCTTGTTTGTTTGTTTCAGAGAGGATCTCAGAAAGTCACTAAGTAGTTTCCAACGCCAGGGTGGGAAATCAGTCTCTGACTGCTGGATTTGCAGGCATGTGCTACCACACCCAGCTATAACTATTTAAAAATTAAAAATACAAAAATGCTCTTCTAAAGACTGTAATTACTAAAATATTTTTAGTCTATATGGAAATGTAATCAGACAACGGTGAGAATAAAAAATTATCCTAGAATACGTACTAACTACTGAATTTCACCATTTCCAGAAGATTTATCAGGCTTTTTACATTAGTTCATTAGTAAGAAATCCAAATCAATCTATTCAAATGGATAGGTATAGTCCTCAGAAACAGACTACATTAAACAATGCATTAAAGAATTAATGATTCTCAAAAAATAGATGACCTTAGACTTAATAGTTTTGTGGTTAGAGTTAATATTTGGTGATACTGGCTTCAATTTTTTACTATTTAAATATAGCATAATCTATGGTCGTAGCTCTAGCTTCACTAGTAACTACAACCACCTACAGGCCTGTTTTGTTTTGTTTTGTTTTTTTAAAGAAGCCCTTGCCTTACTCACCCCAGATTGATTAAGTATAAATCCAGAGAGATATGGCATGGACCTATCTTTTAGAAATCTTCCAAAAGTGATCTTCACATTCACCATGTTATTTTACAAACACTAGTTCTATGATACATAACTTTGGTTCAATACAAAATGGTCTCTTACAGAAAACCTCAGCCCTTTGGCCTTTATTTCACTCCTCTATGGCACCTTAAATTTCCATGGATATCTGACTACTAAGCCAAAACCTCAGTGGAAAATTAAGTACTTATAAAAATTAATCCTTCTAACTGTGGATATTATAAATCAATCCCTGGCTTTAGCTAAAATATCAACAATAACCCCATTTAGATTTATTTTTAATGAACCGGTCTTTATGATGCCAAAAATATACTGAATATTGAAGAAAGCAGCACTGAGAAACCTGATGCTGTTTTCCACCCAAGAGCTGTTGAAGGTACCACCTGTCACATTCAGTAGGAGATAGCTTCACTACTTAACAGCAACAATGGTAATAACAGTGCTCTCAACAACTGGGTTTTCTTGTGTTTTTTGTTTGTTTGTTTTTTCTTTTTGCAGTGCTGGGGATTGAACCCAGGACCTTGTACATACTAAAAAGAACTCTACCACTGAGGTAGACACAGCCGCCACAATCTCCTGCCACCCAATCTACTGACTTTTACTTTCATTAGTGGCCAACACAAACCATTAGCTGGCTTTGATTCCCCCACCACCTCCTTTTTCTTTTCATACTGGATATTGAACCCAGGGCCTTCCCACTAAGCTACATCACCAGACTTTTTTTTTTTCTTTCTTTCTTTTTTCCTTTAGGATAGGATTTCATAAAGTTGTTAGTTGCCGAGGCGAGGCCTGAACTTTAGATCCCCCTGCCTCAGCTTCCCAGATTTCTGGGGTTAGTGCACCACCGAGGCCAGCTCATTTCCCTCTTTAAGAAGAAAGCCATGGGGCCGGGGATTTAGCTCAGTGGTTCAGTGGCCTGCCTTGTAAGCACAAGGACCTGAATTCAATCCCCGGTACCAAAAAAAAAAGAAGAGAGCCAGTCTCACCTTAACCCAATGTTTCTGACTTCAGTGTTTATTTTGTGAACTAACCCTCCTGGTACCACAATAGTCTGCAATTTTAGCTATTATAAGTCTGCTATGCTTTTATTTGCTTTTTTCCATCTTTGAGTAAAGCAAATGATCAGACAGTAATACAAACTGTATTTACATCTGAGAAATTCACCAGTAGTTATAAAACTACTGATAAGTTGTTGCTGAATGGTCCTACATAAGTCAGACCATTGAGCCTCAGAACTATACACTCTGCAGTTTCCACCATTGTTATATCCTATTATATAGTACCTGTCAATGTACAGGTGACAGTGTATGGTTTTACGAGTATCACAATAAACAAGTGTGTGGACACAGTATGAGTAGTCTTTAACTAAATCATCACCAAAACAGCTGAAAATTTCCATTTCACTGCTCATCAGTACAGACCACCCTAAAACGCCTTGGAAAAAGAAACATCTGCTACAAATATTGACAAGTTAACTGTATACTTACTTTAGTTCCTTTAACATTAGAATATCTCAATAAATGTTCAAAATTCAAACACTAATTTATTATGGGGATTTATTTTTCCACACTGATCTAGCTATAGCTAAGAATTCAGTTGCTTTTTTTGGCTAGAGATCTTTTACTCAGCCAGCTAACCCTCAGAATTGAGCATGGGGAATTAGGATGATGATGTAAAGCAACACAAAATCCTTACGTTTTATCTGCCAAGAAATGGAGGCATGTGCTTGGGTCCTAGTAAAGCTGGTTACAGTGAGTGAATGTAACAGGTAATAACAGCAAAGGAAAAGGACTGAGGACCTATAAAAAGTCAGGGCATTGTGTTCAGAGTTGCAAAGAACCCCAGAAGACCTCTGTCCAATGAATGCCCACATGAAATTAACACTGCTGCCACTGCCTCCATATTGCTATGCAGTTCATATGAACTGATTGAGTCAATTCTCAGCACATTCCTATTACAGGCATGTAACTGTCCCCATTTCACAGGGAAGCACCTTACCCTGCAGCATATGATTAGTACAAGAATCAGAATGTGAACCTGAGAGATTCCCACAACCAGTCATAAAGGCAGAGACTTTACTGACCAACCATCGGAGGAAAGTAGGCTTGCAAACCAGTGGATTTTAATTCCAGCCCTGCCACTTATTAGCTGGTTAATTATGGACCTTTCTGGGTATCCAGTTCCACCTCTCTGAAACAGGAAGAATAAAACTCCTTCATAAGGGGTTCAGAGGATTCAATGAATCAGCAGAGTAAGGTACTTAAAATTGTGCCTCAAATACAGAAGATAGTCATAACACCAGGAAGTTATAAGACATCTCAACTTTTTCAATTCAACTCAACCTGTGTTAGGAGCTGACTATATTAAAAGTATAAATTTTTAAAAAAACAGGGTCTCTGTTGTGAAGGCAAAACAAAGCTCTATTCTTTTTTATTGGTAAATTTTGCTATGTATATTTTACTTTGTTTATTTTGGTACCGGGGATCAAACTCAGACCTTATGCTTGCAGGGCAGGTGGCAGAACCACTGAGCTAAAGCCCCACCCATTTATAAAAACATTCAACCAAATGAATGAATTCAAAATAGCCCATTTAGGATAATAAAGCTCTCTACTGGGTTCCACCTCATGACACTGACCACTGATGCCTGTGGACAACTATCAGAGATACTCTGTGAAATCTTCCTAGAATCTTGCCAGAATAACTAATCTTTCTGCCTCATCAACAAGGGAAAATTTGGTCTTGTTGGCCTAATTCTTGATCTCTTTGCTAGGTTTAAAAAAAAAAAAAAAAAAGCCAGATGGAGAAAAAAACCATGAACAAAAAGATCTGGTTTGTGGAAAGAAGTTCAAATGCAAAACGCCTTGGAAGAGTTGCAAGAGTCTCAGGGTGAGTCAAGAAAATGCGAGCCTGTCACAAAAAGACTGCGCCCTGCCTGATGACAGATTTTAACCTACTGCTGAGTTGTAACCTACATGCTATTATCTTCTGCAAGAGACATGCGAGGGAGTACTGCTTTTCAAATGCACTCCGTAGCTAGACTCTGTTTCTTTTAATGCAACAACAAGGCCAGGTAAAGCCTGGATGTTACACATCTACAGCCCAAAGACTATGTGTGATACTGCACATTTCTGAGGGGTGGGACCACTCAGAAAATGGAGGATGAAAAGAACACCGAGGAGTCTTAAAAAGGCTACCAGTAAAGGGTTGCCAGAAAGGAGAAATGAGAAGGGAGATGAAGAACAAGCATCTGTCTTGCCATCAAACACCATATGCTGTTTTCAAAGGGTTTTTTTACCTAATCATTTTATATTATTATTATTATGAAGCATCCTATGGATAGGAAGGCCAGACAGATATTATACAAAACCTTCTCTAAAAGACAAAGAAATTCACTCTCAGAAACAGACATAAAGAGGTCTTCAGAAAGTTCCACAGGTGTCAGGGTTGGTCTCACAGCTTCAAGTGGCCAAACTTTGTAAAAATTCTAGGCCTTTGTTTAGAATAGCATCGTTTGGAAACATCTCAGAAACACTTAACTGTCAGCTCTACTGCCCACTCTAGTGCACATTAACTTCCAGGGGCAAGAAGAGTCTCCTCTCTTCCTTGCCCCTACTGCCTGCTACCAGGGATCATGTTAGAGCTTGGGGCAATTAGTTTAAAAAAAAAATTATGATTGAATATAAAATTTTGAGCTAGACACATTTACACCCTTAAAACTGCTGTATGAAACTGGAAAATTAGTAAATCCCATGTTTTCTCATTTTGATCCAATACACATATGTGAAGCACAGGCCCTGTTAACTCTGCTTGCTATTAATGAAAACAATCCTTGAGAGACATAATTTATGGATTTCTAAACATTATTCCCACTTTTGAAAAACATTACATATTAAAGCTATGTTATCCCAAAATCACCTTTCCATTCGGAGAAACAAAAGAAAATGTGTTCCTAGATAAAAATCAGTGTCCTAATGAAGGACAATAAAGTATTACCACTAAACTTAAAGCTGTTTTTTTTTGGGGGGGGGTTGGTTTGGTGGGTTTTTTTTTGGTACCAGGGATTGAACTTGGGCCCTTGTGCTTGCGAGGCAGGTGGCGGAACCACTGAGCCAAATCCCTAGTCCTTAAATCCTGTTTTAAATTACTATCATGTAATACACATTTCTCAAAGAAGTAAAAGCAGCAAATAAATATATGAAAAAATGTTCCACATCACGGTCATTGGAGAGATGTTGATGAAAACAACACTGAGATTCCACCTCAACCCAGAAAGAATGGCTGCTGTCATGAAATCAACCAGTAACAAATGCTGGCAGGGTTGTAGGGAGAAAGGAACTCTTCTCCATTGTTGGTGGGAGTGCAGACTGGTGCAACCATTATGGAAATCAATATGCAGATACCTCAAAGAACTAGGACTAGAGGTTCCATTTAACCCAACTATCCCTCTGCTGGGTATCTTTCCAAAAGAATTAAAAGAATCATATCACAGTGATATATGCGCACCCATGTTTATAGTGGCACAGTTTGTAATAGCTAAAACTTGGAAACAGCCTAATTGCCCATCAGATGGGAGAATGGATAAAGATGTGGTTTTTCTATAAAATGGAGTACTACTCAGTCGTAAAGAATGAGAAATTACAGGCATTCATAGGAAAATGGATGCATATTGGGCCATACTCTTAAGTGAAATAAATAAGTCACACATGTGTAAATACTGAATAGTTTCTCTGGTGTGAAAAACTAAAAGTGCAAATAAGATCCAAATTGTATAACTGACAATGTGAAATAGGAAGAAAGGGGCCAATGTGTAAATACTGAATAGTTTCTCTGGTATGAAAAACTAAAAGTATAAGTAAGATCCAAATTGTATAACTGACAATGTGAAATAGGAAGAAAAGGGCTAAAGGTGTAGGGGAAATGGGAAGGGTGGGGGAAAGGAAATAAGGGAAAAGAAAAATATGAGAAAATAGAAACAAAGTCTTTGTAAATAGGGAAGGGGGAGGGGGTGAAGGGAGAGCAGAGGGGTGAAGGGAGAGCAGAGGTATGGGGAAAAAATAAGAACCAAGATCTATCATGTAAAGGTACAAGATCACAATGATAAGTGTAACTATACTGTATACTTAAAAAGTACCCCCCCAAAAAAACAAAAAGTACCACTAAACTCAATGAAAAAAATGTTAAATCACTATCATGTAGATAAGTGTAACTATACTGTATACTTAAAAAGTGCCCCCCCAAAAAAACAAAAAGTACCACTAAACTCAATGAAAAAAATGTTAAATCACTATCATGTATTTATATAACTGAGCCCTAGATTTAAATAAACTATAGAAGCATTCAAATGAATGAACAAGAACTTCACAGTTACTAATCTATATCTGTCATAAAGAAAGAAAATGCCATCAAGGCTCACATTTTTACTTCGGTTTTTCATTATGCAAAGATGATGCTATTAGATCCCCAAAATTAAGAACACAGGGTTTCAAAAACATATAAAATGATCTATAAAGTTTGTAAGAGTCTTATAAAGAGCTTTTGATTTTCCTATTCCAATCACTAACTAAAATATGTACTGGGAAAAAAAAACAAAGTTTTAATAGTCCATACTAAGCTCATAAATCAAATTAACATAAGGAATTTGGCTGTTTCAAGTTACTCTGCAGCTTATTAAAATAAACATAACCACAAAAATCCATTTTGGTATTGTTACCAGCATGGATACAAAGTTTAAGTTCTTACAAAATAATCAGTTTGCAGCAATGAAAATTCATAATCACGTCTGGCTGCGAGTTTCACCAGAAAAAGGAGAGTCAGATGCCACAGTGCTACAGGATGCCCACACTGCCGTGTTGTCAAGCTGATTCGCCATCTGAACAGCACAGAGTGCTGCTGAGTGCAGAAGTTGGCTTTCAAGAACTGCTGGAAGCCCTTTGAGAGGCCTGAGTCAGAAGTGCAGGTAATTTCATAACCAAATAGCCTGTTGCTATGGCTGAATACCCATGAATCACAGCAGCCTCTCAGCGTGATAAGCCATGCAGCAACTAATTAGCTTCTTAGAAGTGCATGGAGCTACCTGCTAATAATGCCTCACGCAAAGGATTATGATGTCCTAATTTCATTCTGCAAATTATTGCCTCATCATTTCTAAAGAAAGAATTTTAATAAAAAGAAATACAATCTGTCTAAGGAAAAGTATCCCTCACGGCAGTTGCTTTCCCTTGGCTGTCTTGGCCACAGCTGGTATGTCTGCAATCCTCTAAACAGTCAAGTGTCTACAGCACCAGGTTGGTAACACAACTTGGAATTCAGTTTTTGCTATTCTGAAAAGGCTTAAGACACTCACAAAAGATGTTGGGCAACTTCAAAGTGTACTAGGTCCCAAAGGCAATACAAAATTCCCATAGCAGAAGAGTCAGGTTATGAGAAAGATCTGCCTTTGGGGATGACTAGCAAAGTTAATGTTTCGCAGCCTTAGGGAGCACTTAACAAAGCAAGTCATCAGCATCCAGTTGGTGAAATCTTATTGTCTAGCATGAGCTCTCCCTTCAGATAACTTCAGAATATTCTACCAATCTTCCCATATCATTTTTTTTTTTTACTGGTACATCTTAATACAGACTGTATCACATTACTTTCTCCAAAGGAAATTACAAGTTTGTTAACAGAATAAATTCTCTCATGAATCGTCTATAGTACAGGTTGCCAAAAGTGTCAAGCCCAAACGCCAGCATGGTTATTCACTTAAGTGTTATTAACTAGTACTATGGGATACAGATGCAAAACCATGTTCTTTTAAACTAGTATTAACTGACTGGCTATAAACTAAAGCTAACATTCATTAGGAGACATCTGGAAGTCACAGGTAAGAGGACAACTAAAAATCACCTCTACTCATGCACAGATGACTTACTTAAATGTCGTTATAACTTTGAGTGTCTTTTCCACAAATTTGTAGCTTTCATTCATTACGTTGCAGGCATTTTCCTTCTCTTGAAAATATAGTAGTGCCTCAGTTTACAAACTTAATTTTACAGTTTTGGGGAAAAGAGGCTACATTGTGTTTGTGTGGGGAAGATGATAGTGGTCATGTTGTCACCAGATGCACAGGCTGCCAAGGAAAGTAAAGTTCCATGGAACACTTTTGCTTGTGAACAGAACTGTTTAAAAATAGAAGTGCTTGTGAACTGGGATATTATTTATTGTTTTCCAAAACAGTATCTCAAACTTCTGACATTAACTAGCAGATACCCTAAATACAAGAAGCTGAGTATAAGATGTTGCCTTTTAAGCTGTCTGCAAAGCAATTAAGGAACAACACATTTCACAGACCAAAGAAAACAGCCAAACAATACATTCCTCCATAGCCACATATACTAGTTTGGCACCTCTGTAGAACAAAGTCACTCTCAATAGCAGTATAATATTTCAATGTTCTTATACACATACTTTATGTAAACATTGACTTTTTCACATTAAAATGGGAAACCTATAACTTTCAGATATTATCTATCTAGGAGAATATCTACAAACTAAATTTAGTCACAAATAAGCAGCATGTCATAAAAAGGGACAGTGTTCCTGGAGAATACAGATGGTAGAGGACAGCTAAAGCACACCAAGAAGAGCCAAGCATGGTAGCAAATATCTGTAATCTCAGCTCTAGGAAGCTGAGGCAGGAGGATAACAAATGAGAGCCCAAGCTGGACAACTACACAACATTGTCTTTTAAAAAAATATTTTTTTTTCTTTAAAGGGCTGAGGATGTAGATCAGTGTGAAGCTCTCAATTTAATCCCCAGTATCACAAAATATTATCATCATCATAAATAAAAACACAGAGAAGGAAAGAATTTCTCAATGGGATCAGACGGCAAATGAATTAATACATATGTAAGAAATTTCATAAGCATTGAAGAAGATATAAATATAAAGGTATGATGACAGTATGAAATGCTATACGAGCAAAAGCTGTGTGCTCTTACACATGACAAACGGAATGCACAAAGGTTAATAAGAAATCAATATCCTTTCCCCAGGGCAGTGAATTCAGCAAGCAGGAACACAAACGGTGCTTTGTCATATTTAAGTATATGTGACATCTAGAGGCAGATGCTCTAGGGACAACAAACAATGTGAACCAAAATAGGAGCTAAAAGGCTGTGAATCACCTGAGCATAGATTGTAATTGATTAAGTGTCCATGAAATAAATGCACAATGAATATGTACTGAATAAGATTAATAGAATTTGGCTGAAAAAATATTCATGCAAGAGATATACGGGGTGGATGAATAAAATGGAACAATTAAAGGAAACACTAGAATAGAAAAATAAAATGACAAAACATAATAAGTAAATTCAATTTTTTCTAAAGCTGTTCTTCAATGTGAGAGGATCTGGCCTTGCCTATAAAGTAGGAACAGATAAGGAATCAGCATAAAGAAAGAAAATGGAGGGCAAGCTCAGTGATGCTGTTGCCAGCATCTCAAGTGCAAGAAAGAAAGAAAGGAAGGAAGGGAATTACATACAGAAATGGGTAAGTATTGTAAGAACACTAACAATTTAATACCAGAAAATATAAATAATAACAGAAATCAACACTATACCGGAGGCAGTAAATTCAGAAATGAAGCTGAGTGAAAATCTGAACATGAAGTATAAATCCTGAATTTGAAGTTTTTGTTTTCAGGAATAAAGCAAAAGAAATTAAAATGATAAAAGATTCTGTTAAAAAGGGAACCATGATGAGAAAAATAAATGGGCCCCAGAATAAGAGCTAAGAGCTAGACACATCTTGGGAACTTTTATAATCTGTAAGGTCAACAAAAATTATTTTCTAATACATAGGACAGGAAGAAAATGACAGTGTACCCACAAAATCACAACAACTGCTGATACTGAAGGGGGGAAATGTCTTGACCTAAGAATTTTATACCTTGCCAAGTTCTCTTCTACATGTTAAGTATGCAAAAGCCATTTTCAGGGGGGAAAAGAAAAAACAAAAACTAATACGGATCACCCACAAACTATTTTTCAACAATCTTGAAGTCAACCCTACATTAACAGTGACGGAAGCTGGTGGAATTTCAGTGTGAAGGCCCAGGAGACCATTCTCTCACCTGGGCTGTATTACAGACACCCACCTGGGTAAAGGGACCACTGACTGTTGACTCACTTTTCAGTTGCTTTCTTTTCTAAATAATACATTTCCTGAGATTCACAGATAAAATTTCTTGACTTGCCTAATAACTACCTCAAAGCATTAGTTAGCAATATTTTCGGTTCCAATATTTGGTATTAATAGCTAAACTGACTTGGTACACTGTACCTAAATAATTATTAAACAAAACTTTCAAATGATTTTTGGTAATGGTGAAAGAAACATTGATTCCAAGAGCAACATAATGTCCAATATAATTACTAGAGATCACCACTGACAATTTCCTGTGATTTTAAAACTTGGACTGAATGACCTTGGCCAGTGAGTTTTGCAGAGAGGCAAAAATCATACAAACCACCCACCAACATACATAGCATCTTCTCAACCTCTTCTAATATTATCTTTCCATCTAGGGCATACAAATGTTCCTACACTTTAAAAATGTATTAGTTCTTAACAAAATGAAAATGCCAGGGGAAAAGGCTTTTTCTGGTTTTTGTTTCCTTTTTGTGGTGGAGGGGCTATGCTGGGAATCTTAACTTAGGTCTCATGTTTACTAAGCATACACTTCACCACCGAGTTACACTTCGGCCCCTCAACATGCACTTCTTTTTTTAATTTTTAATTTATTAGTACACATTTGCACTACAGAATGATTGCTTTCATCATGGGGAGCTGGTACACATACATAACACAGCTTAATTCTTTTTCCATACCCTTCCCCTCTCCTTCCTGCTTCCTCCCTCCTCTCTTGGTCTCCTTCCCTTCTGCAAAAGATCTCCCTGTTTCCTATTATCTATCTTTTATTTTGCTTTTTATTTATATTTTATTTTTCATAAAAGAGAAACAATACAATATTCAAGTGTGTGTGTCTATTTCACTTAACATTATGGGAATGTAGACCAGTACAACAATTATGGAAATCAGTACAGAGATTTCTCAAAAAACTAAAAATAGAAATTCCATTCAAATGAGGGGCCAGAGATTTAGCTCAGTGGCAGTGCAACTGCCTGGCAAGCACAAGGTCCTGAGTTCAATCCATGGTTCCAAAAAAAAAAAAGAAAGAAATTCCACTCAAATGAGTGATTTCACTTCTAGGTATCTTCTTAAAAGAGTTAAAAAACGTATTTAGTAATACATGCTTATAGCAGTATACTTCATAATAGCTGTATCTTGGAAGTGGCCTGTATGTCCATCAACAGGTGAATGGATAAAGAAAATGTGGCTTTTATACACAATGCAGTACTACTGCACCATAAAGGATAATAAACAAGTCATATGGAAGAAAATGGATGTACCTCAATGTACACTTTTTGCATGTCTTCCAAGATACTTTTGAAATTGAAATAGAAAAGTTTGTTAAAGTATTGTGACAAGAATTAGAAACTACCATCCTAAAATAAAACAAAAAGTCTGCTTTGAGGAGCTGAAATTCTGTACCATTTGTCATTAATAAAGCTAGATCTGGCCAGATATGGTGGCGGACGCCTTTAATTCCAGCACTTGGAAGGCTCAGGCAGGACTGCTACAGAGAATGAGACCAGCCTGGGATTACAGGTGTGCACCACCATGCCCAGCACAAAACATTTTACTACATTTGACCAAAATGTCTACATCCTACGGGATCTGAATATATGGCTTATGATAAATACTTCATCAACAAACCACATGAATCTGAAAGGGGCAGGATCATCTCTGTTAAACTGGCTTTACAAAACACTGATTAAAATGTATTTCTGTGTTACTACACATGGCTTATAAACATTCCACCCTACTTACAAATCTAGTGGCAGCTCTGACTCAGGTAAGAGAATCTAGCTGTGGCCCAAATTAGCTGGCATTAATGATGGCATTATCACTTACTCCTGCTCCACAGATTGGAGGCAATTACAGAGGTAGGGCAGAAGCAGTTATTCCCTGTGACACAAGATGAAGTAAAGTGACTTGTGGAGAAAGTCAAGGCTGGCCTCAAACTCTGGACACTTCTGTCTCAGCCTCCCTTGTGTTGGGATGCCTCCATGGATCAAACATACCAGTTTTTAAAAAGCAATCATTCTAGATTTAAAATCTGTACTTTGTACCATAAACACATGTTTAAAGGACAGGGAAGAGTATAATGTCTATATACCTACACTCAAAAAGGATGAGGCAGAAGGATCACATGAAAGTTGGATCCCAGCCTGAATAACAGTGTGAAGACCCTCTCTCTGAGAGAGGGTCTAAGGATAGGAACATGACTGAAAGCAAAGGATTAAAAAGATAAAGAGGAAAGGTCTAAACAAAACAAAGATAAGCCAGACACATTAACCAGACTGCTTTAATGGCATCAGAGGAGGTCTGAAGCAATGGCCCTCACTCTAAAGGGAAGACGGGGACCACAACATGGCCTGGGAAGGCCCTTAGTGCCATAACCGAAAATCATTTCATGACAAGTCAGTGAGAGGGCTAGGCAGATTTCTCAGGCTGAGTTACTAAGCAGAGAGAATGGGAAGGGATTACTGGATGAAGAGCAGAAGACACAGCACTGATGAGGAAGACGAGACTGGGACACTAAGCATCACAAAGGCCTGTGTTATGTAGTGGGGCTGAGCCCACACTGTTACACAGTGGCCCAGAACTCAGTTGGGCATAGGCTCAGTTCAGCTTTTTCCAGAGGCCCTGGGGGACATCTTTATTACTACTCCAGGCCCCATGAGATGACTATTCCTACTTGGGACAGTCTCAGTTTGGGAAGGCTCTGCTGGAAACCCAAGTGACCTGTAGGATTGGGGCAATGATTAGAGCCTTTTGGTACCCACTGATAGCTGA